GCCCCGCGTAGAGCGAATTACAGTAGTCAAGCCTGGAGATGACCGTCGCATGGATCACTGTGGCCAGGTAAGGGACCAACTGCTTGATGCGGCGAAGGTGGAAAAATGTCGCCTTGGCTGTTGCTGTAACTTGCGCCTCCATGGAAAGGGAGGCGTCAAGGATTACACCCAAACTCTTAACGGAAGGCAATGGCACTAATTGGGACCCGCAAGAGAAGGGAGTTGGTCCCTCATCCCCATGCCATCCCGACCCAGCCATAGGACCTCTGTCTTCGAAGGATTTAGTTTCAATCGGCTCCCACGAAACCATCCAGCCACAGCTTCCAAGCATCTGGTCAGTGTGTTCGGGGCCGAGTCGGTGTGGCCATCCATCAGCAGATAGAGCTGAGTGTCATCAGCATATTGGAGACAGCCCAGCCCAAAGCTCTGGATAATCTGGGCAAGGTGGTGCAAAGTTAAGAACTTTGCTTGAGGATGAGAACAGAAGTCGTGCTCCAGCAGCGCAGCGGCAGCAGGAGGCCCCATTAGCTAAAGTGGTGGTTCAGGTTAAGAACAGTTTCAGGTTAAGAACGGACCTCCAGAATGAATTAAGTACTTAACCCGAGGTACCATTGTATACCCAAAAGGTATGTTTCTGGTCTTTTGCCATGTGAAGTTCTTAGTAACTTTTTTATTTCTTCATGGATCATGTCCCAGAACTTTCTGATCTCTGGACGTGTCCACCACATATGGTAGAAGGTTCCAATCTGCTTTGTACATCTCCAACACTTATTACTAAGCGATTTGTTCATTTTAGCCAATTTCTCCGGTGTTAAATACCACCTATGGTGCATTTTCAGGTAGTTTTCTTTTATTAAATAACACGCTGTAAAATTAATATTTTTTGACCACAGTTTTTTCCACTCTTTATATTCTATTACATAACCTAAGTCCTGCTCCCATCTTATTATGGCCTTTCCTTTTCCTCTTTTTCTATTTGAGCATTCTTTAACAGCTTGTACATTTTGGAGAGAGTCTTTTGGTTGTTCTGTAAAACCTCCTTCTCTAAGATTGATGCTTTGTTATCAAACCCTTTTAAAGTCTTATCTTTTTCAAAAGTCACCCTAAGCTGGTAATATTCTAGCCAATTTAGCCCTAGTTGCTTGAGTTCTTCAAACCTTTTCAGTTTGGGGCAATAATTTATCTCATCCACCAAGTCTCTGTAAGTTGGCCAGTTATTGTTCATGTTATTCTTATGAATGTCAGTTGACTCTATAGGTGATATCCACCAAGGGGTTTTTGTTATAACTTTGGATTTATTCCTCTCCCAAACCTCGAATAAGGCCTTCCTCATTAGGTGGTTCGTGAAGCCTTTATGTGCTCTGATGCCACCCGAAAACCTTGTCCCAGCCCTCTAAATCCAAGACTTTGGTATTCCTAAGCCACATCCAGTCTTTCAACCAAGTCCAGCATGTGGCCTCAAAGTACATTCTGAGGTCCAGGACCGCGAACCCTCCTCTTTCTCTGGGTTCCGTCAACAATTTAAATTTCATTCTTGCTTTTTTGCCCTGCCAAATGAAATTGGCCAGGTCCCTCTGCCAATCTTTAAAACATTTTGTCCCAATGATTATTGGAATTGTCTGAAAGAGAAAGAGGATTTTGGGAAGTATTGTCATTTTAATCACTGATATCCTGCCCCATAATGACAGCTTCAATTTACTCCAATTTTCTAAATTTCCTTTAATTTCCTTCCATTTTTTAATGTAATTCTCTTTAAAGAAATTAGTGTTCTTATTTGTAATCCAGACCCCCAGATAGTTTACTTTATTTGTGGTCTTTAGACCCGTTATTCTCTCTAGGTCCTCTTGTTCCATCTCTTCCATATTTTTTGTTAATAATTTAGATTTATTTTTATTCAGTTTAAATCCCGAGACCTTGCCAAATTCATTCATTTTCACTAGTGCTTTTTGTATGCCTTCAATTGGGTTTTCAGAACAGTGGTATCTCTGGTTGCGAACGGGATGTCATTTTGCACTTGTGTGCATGCACGAGTGGCGAAACCCGGAAGTAACCCTTTCCAGTACTTCCGGGTCACTGTGGGATGTACCCTGAAATAATGTAACATGAAGCAGACGTAACATGAGGTATGACTATAGTAATAAACACATCATCAGCAAATGCCTTCACCTTGTAATATCAGCTACCCAAATTGATGCCCCTTATTTCCTGGTCTTTCCTTATTGCTATTAAGAGAGTCTCCAACGTTGTGATAATAAGAGTGGGGACAAGGGACAACCTGGTCTAGTCCCTCTTTCTATATTAAATTCTTCAGTGATTATATTATAATTATTTTGGCTTTCTGGTTGTCATAAATTGCCTTAATTCCATTCATGATGTTGTTTCCTATTCTCAAGCTCTCAAAAGTTTTAATTAAGAAGTTCCACGATATGCTGTCGAAAGCCTTCTTCCAGTAGCATTGCTACCTTTTTGCTTGGTTTCATTTATGTATATTCCAGTAAGTCATTAATTATCCTTGTATTATTTCTTATTTGCCTCCCCGGTAAAAAGCCGGCTTGATCATTTCCTATTACCCTGTTTAAGAAATGTTTTAGCCTGTTAGCCAGGATACCCGTAAATATTTTATAATCCATGTTTAGAAGTGAAATTGGTCTATAATTCTTAATAAGTTTTCTTAGATGCCTCCCACTTTTCTTTCTTGTTGGTATTGTCTGCCTTTGTGTCTTCAGTATGTCACCCATGACATTAACAGCCAAAATAGTGTTGGAAAGAAGTATGCATTCCACATTAAGCTTTAGGCCACCCAAAATGATACCTCCACATCACTGGCAGACTGACTAGTATGAGACGGAAGTGAATCCTTTCTATACCAATGCTGTCTTTCGTACAATACAATGCCAAATCTGTGTGTCAATGCCAAATAATGGTTAAAAATATGTAGAAAGGGGAAAGGACTCAGTAAAGCTGTTGACATGCACTCACTTTCTCAATATCTAGCAGCAGAGCGACTTTGCAAAATGCATGTTTCAAGGCACCGGCCAGCTGAATTCTTGTCGTCAAAAATTAATCAAGCTCTGGAGGAACTGGTTCCATCAGAAAGAGCCACCAAAGGGTAATTTCTGTACTTATATAATTGACGGAAGCCACCATTTTGGCTACAATTATAGCAATGTTTCCCCCTCTCAGCTAACCCTTCCAATCCAAAACAAACGTAAAATCCATTAATCTTAAAACAATACAAGCTTTCCTGCTTAAAACAAAAATACTTTAGCACTAATTTAATAAATGTGTGTGTGCCCCTGCTTGGGGAAAAAATACTTTGAAAATTGCTATTTTGGACCTTTCCCACTTTCTGCCTCAACCATTGGGCAGGAAAACCAAAGTGCATATTTTCCACTGATGCTGGCAGGTTGCCAGATACTTTAAAGGCAGCTGGGGAATGGAGGCAGGGCTCCACAGGCCTTGGAAGGCCCCAGGGAGTGCATCTGCACGCTACCTGTGGTCCACTGGCTGCAGGTATCCTGCCTGTGTCATAGAATACCAGACCTGGAGGGAACTCGGTGGGCCATCTATTCTAGTCCAACTGCTGCTTGAAGCAGGAAAGCAAGAGCTACAGCCTCCCCAGCAAATGACTCTTGGTATCTGAAAGACCTTTTAAACCCTCCAGCCCTGTATGTCACATTAAGCTGGTCTGAGGGCAGGGAACTTTCCAGTTGCTTGGGGGACAGTGGTCGTCAGCAAATGGCTTACAGTCAGGATAGCTTGGCTGGGATTATCATCTCACTCCCACCCCGTGGAGGGACGAGTTGGGAGGGCACGGTAAGGATTGGAATTTGTTTTGGGGAAAAGAACCCCTAGGGGGCAGGGAACCCAAAGATTGGGGGAAGGTTGAAGGAAAGGACCACAGCAAGGAGTGGTATGGTTCACATAAACTTGAGGCAACCCTGAGGTGGGAGGCTAGAGGGCAACCCATAAGCCAATTTCAAACACTACAAAAGCAACTTCATAATAATATGACAAATTAGCATAGTTTCATCATAACATGATGATAATATGAATTTAGGTGGGCCAGCAGTTTGATTCCGTGTGAGAGACAGTGGCGCCAACTTAAACAAAATATGGGTGGGGCAGGCCTGCCTACTTCCCCTGCCCCCGCCCCCTTGCTGCACTAAGTCTGGTGTCAGGCCAGTGAGCCCCCAGGCAGCTGCATTGGAGTGTAGGCAGTCGGTGTTGGTGTTTGCAGCACGGCCAGGGTGCTTGCTCTGCCTCCCTCTGTCCCTACGTCAGCTGTCTCCTCTCAGCCAGGCATCCGCCTTGCCCATGCCTGTCATCACCCACTGGCCAGGCATGCTCATCTTTGCTCAGGCTGCCACCATGGTAGGTTGGGTGGGGGGCTGTCCCCATTGCAGGAGGGTGCCACACAGAGAGAGGGAGTGAGCAATTGATGGAGGGATGGGAAGCCAGGTAGGAGACAGACACACACAAACCACACACTCACATCCACACACACACACACACACCCGCCACTGCTGTGTCCCACTTTGCTCCTCCTGGAAGAAAGCCAGAAACAGAGAGTGATGCCTGGCTGGGGGTAGACAGCAAACCAAGGGAGGGAGATGGGAAGGCAGGTGGGTGGGCAGTGGTGGGGAGAAAATATTGAGGGGGTTGTGTCTCCTCTCCCCACCTTCTGTCACCTAAATAAAATAAATGTTTCTTCCACAGGTCATTGGAAAGATCCAAAATCTCCAGTAATGAGATGATCTGCAAGGGAAGAAAACAATTAATGGAAATTCTTGAACCGGATACTGAACATTTTGTAGATGTGCTATACTATTTCTATGTCATCACTCTGAAAGAATACAGAGACATTTGCGAAATGTTGAAAATTTTAAAAGTGAACAATTGCTGAGTATAATCCAGGAAAGGGGGAGCAAGCTTGTTGCAGGTTCCTGGAATGTGTAGAAATGGCACATCCAGGTACCGTTCTAGTTCTGCTATCTGCAATGCATGGTGAGTTTGACTTCGAGTTCTTAAACTTCAAGGGCAGTTCAACTAACTTCCTCCTTGCAACAGTCATCAGGCAAATAACTGTCTTCCTTTTACAGATTTGGATCAAACTCCACTCAAGGCAGCTGGCCCAATAGAGCCAGAGGTGGTTTGGGACTCAGAAAGGGGCAACGAAGCATACAGGTGAGTGATCTCTCCATCAGACATTTAAAAAACCTTTTCCATTCAGGGAATGGTTTTTACATTTAATTGTTCCACAGAGCACATCTGGTTTCTGTGGGTCTCACAGTCATCATATATGGTGGTGCTCCCTAAAACATACACAGAGTACATCTACAGTATGTTCTGCACGTTGCAATGAACAGTTGGCCATGGTGGGCAAATTCTCTCTGAAGGAAGCTTACCCACCAATCCTGATCTCTTCATTGAGGAACTCCTGGGTCCCTCAAATGCAGCTGGAAAATCATTACCTTGGAGCATTGCTGTTGCTTATTATTTCCAAGAGAGTGAAAAATATGGAACTCTGGATTTTTTTTGAGGAACTGTTGTTTCTTCTCCTTTATGTGGGATGTAAACACAGGAGCAGTCAATGACAACATTCCTAGAGTGTACATGTTAAAACATGGGAGGGATGTCTGTCCAGCAAGCAGGTAAACTTCCTGGGACGGACTTCCTCCACATGTGACCAGAGGTGGGTGTGGGCTCACCTGTGCAGGTAAATGATAAAAGCACAGGGCAGGCAGCCATCTCTCTCTCTCATCTTCATCTTCTGAAGGAGCAACATGCCCTCTTGGCTCTCAGCCAAGAGAGGAGGATAGGACTATCTTGCTATAACATAGATTCTGAATGTATGTAACCTTTTTAAGCGTGTCTGCCTTCTGGGATCATATTGTGAACAGAACGTGAGTAAACTCTTTTATACTTTTATAAGGACTGTGTTGTGTCTTGTATTTTAAGAGGGAACAAAAGGGGAAATTACCAGAGTAATTATTATAGAGGTTCTAGCGAACCTGTGCAGACGTTACCGTTTCATATTTAAAGGGGAATGTTATAAACTCTGCTGATATTTTAGGAACTTGTTAGCACAAGTTGGATTAGGATATAATCTCACAATATAGCATCTCCTGCACCTGAAACATTCCCACACTTAAAAACATTTTATTGATATGATTTAAGTTATATCCCACCTTTCTCCCAAAGAGTTCAAGGTGGCATGCATGGTTTCCTCCCAATCACTTTAAAGCAGTGTGCTTTTTGGTCTGGTGTTTAGCGCTAAATGGGTACATTGGTTACAGAACTCTTGCCCTGCTTACCGAGTATGAGAAATTTCCCTGATGTTCTAGTATCATCAACACAAGGGTAAACAGAAGATGAGTAGTTACTTTCACCAGCTTGCTTTGCTCTGCATGAAGGCACCATTTTAAAAACAGCTTCTCGGTATAAGAAAAAGCGCCTTTTTTTACTTATTGGTTGGCCTCATAGCACTTGTGCTTCAGTTGAGTGATGCTTGACCAGGAGATGTCCTTCTGTCAATATTTTACCTCCATAACTCAGCGTGTGAAGCATCTCCTGCAAAAATATCAATTAGAACAGCGTGAAGAAGTTCTCCCAATTCATGTTTGACGTACAGTGTAAATTAATAACGCAGAATCTTCTTCAGTAAAAGGAGTCTCAAAGCGGCTAACAATCTCCTTTCCCTTCCTTCCCCACAACAAACACTCTGTGAGGTGAGTGAGACTGAGAGACGTCAGAGAAGTGTGAGTAGCCCAAGGTCACCCAGCAGCTGCATGGAGAAGCAGGACGCGAACCCGGCTTCACCAGATTACGAGTCCATCGCTCTTACCACAACACCACACTGGCTCTCACAGCATAGTGAACAGAAGATTAAGTTAGCTTTAGAGCATACACAGAGTTACTGAGTCACATAGAGTCTTCAGTGTGCACAGGCTCCACAAAGCTAAGACAGTCACTGCAGACAGTCACCAGAGACACTGGGTCTGCCTGCAAACAGATACAATATTTATAAAGAGAATGACTCATCCTCAGGATTCAGTGATTCAGCATGCTAAATGATTCTGCAGCTTTTCAGCATTTCACAACATTTCTAGACTCCTTTACTGCTTCTGCTCTCAAATACAATGTTCAACCTGATTCCACTTTCATCTTTCCCTTTGTGCCATTCAGAGTGCACTCCACTGAGGCTGGCTCCTTCCTTTGCGGTAATACGGATCTCATATGTGAAGTGAAAGAAGCTGTGACTGTAACATACCACTTTGATTCATGGCCTAAGCACCTGGAAGAACAGTCCACTGAGGAGTTGCATGTCGCTGGCCCTCTGCTCAACATTAAAGTAGATGCAGTAGAAGCTGTGGCAGCCATTCACGTCCCTCACTTCTTGTGTCTTGAAGGTATGGCAGGGGAAAGTTCCCAGCATTATAACCATAATAGGAGGAATCCTAAACAAGAATAACTTCCATTGATGTTTCCAGAATGCTATGGGGCCTGCGGTGTGGAGTCTAGAAGTCAGTAGTGCTGGCTTACTAGTCTTTTGTAATTTTTCAAAATGTTCCAACTGTGCTGTTTTATTATTTTCTATGATTTGCACTCTGTTGTAACCTGCCATGTGAGCATATTGTCCTGTGGAACAACATTATAAACCTCTTAAAAGACAATAGGAAAATAAATGTTTGCATGAAATAATAAGGTAAAGGACCCTTGACAATTAAGTCCAGTTGCAGACAACTCTGGGGTTGCGGCGCTCATCTCGCTTTACTGGCTGAGGGAGCCGGCGTTTGTCCGCAGACAGTTTTTCTGGGTCATGTGGCCAGCATGACTAAGCCGCTTCTGGCGAACCAGAGCAGCACACGGAAACGCTGTTTACCTTCCTGCTGGAGCAGTACCTATTTATCTACTTGCACTTTGACGTGCTTTCGAACTGCTAGGTTGGCAGGAGCTGAAATGGGGGGGGGTTAAGTTTCACTTTCCCACTGCTAACATGCTTGTCTTTTCAGGTGACGACAGTTCCCATGTCTACGTTGCACATTTTGTTGAAGGGGAGATGAGGCTGGAGAAGCCAGACAGAGTAGAGCCTCACCATGCTGTGTTGGAAAACCCCAAGTTCTCTTCCCTTGGAGTCATTTTGAAAAAGTGGTTTAAGCAAAAGATCAACACTGTCGTACTGCTCTATCAGAGACTTCAGCTGGAAACACCAACATTTCACCTGTACCTCCTGCCGAATGACTCTTCTATAGTAAAGGTAACTTGGAATCTCCAACTTTGATTGGTATTGCAGATTACCTGGATCTTTTGCTTGATCACTCTAACCATGACAGAATAGCTATGCAAAATTATTCATTAGGGTGCATGAACTGTACTTATCTTTGTTGGACTTGATCTGTTTTACCAAACTTCTAGCCAACATCAACATGCTACTAGAGAGAAGATTCACAGTTGCCCTCCACTGGATGACTTAGCTTCTCACCAACACTGTTGTTTCAAAGTGAAGTTTGCAATATTGAAATACACCCTTTTCCTTTGTTAGCCAGCCTGCTTGCTAGAGGCCAAATGTCCTGCCTGGTTCTCTAAACAAACGTTGTTGTCACTGACTTGTGAAAACAAAATTCTAAGCACATTCTCTTGGAAGCCTTCACTGAAATAAGTAAGGCTTCCTTCAGATTTATTGATGAACAAATTCAGCTTTGTTCATTAAGGAATCAGCTTGATAATTATGAACTGTCTATAAGAACTCATGAGGAAAAACATTCTTCCTGATTTGCAGTGTTGGCACATGGGAGATAAAGCACATTATCATATTACATTCTCAATCTGAACTTTTCTTAAAATTGTCTTCTTATGCTTCATTCAAATATTGAGGTTCTATGGCTTCTGTGGTTTCCTGCATGGTCTCATCAAGAGAAGATGAGGTGGACGCTGGATTGCTGGTACCTCTCTGCCTACTTGCTCAGGCTTAGTTCAGGCTGCCCAGTTCAAGAGCTCTGCTGAGTTCCCATGTGTAGTTTCTGGTGCCATAGTGGTTTAATCTTCTTCATACTGCAGATGTGGAATCTGAGTATCTGCCGATGCTCTTGGACTACAGCATCCATCATCCCTGACCCCAGCTGGTTGGGGTTGATTTGAGTCCAACAACATCTGGAGGGCATCAGGTTCCCCATTCCTGCCTTAGCTGGTGTTACGGTGCCAAGAAGGCCGTAGGGATCCAGTCTTCAAGAAGTTTGGTTCCCTCTTTGCATATCTAAAAAGTGAATTTATTTGCCATTCCCAGGCGGTCGATAAGTGTGAAGTAAATTCAAAGAGAATAGAGAAACCCCCTGTGACCCTGAAACCACTGATGATTGGTTCTCAGGTATCTTTGAAGGCTTCAGAGAATGTCACAGTTTATCCTGAGGTGAGACAAATATGATGAAAGGTTCTACTGGGGAAGAGTCAAACTGTGAAGTCTGAGAATGGGAGAAATTCAGCCAGAGTCCCTCTTCACCCTTTAATTTGACTCCCTTGTAATGGTGGGCTGGGCTAAGCCAGATTCACACTTACAGAGGTTTCATTCTTCCCACAGGAACTGAAGTTTCAATACCTGGATGCAGAGAAACTGCAGCAGTATGTAGAACTGTCTGCTGAGCAAATGCAAGACAAGTTCAACTTCTACCTGATGAAGAAGGGCACGACTGAAATTATTTGGGAGGCACATTTGAAAAAAAGTGAGTTTTGATCAAGGAAGATCATGAGGCAGGATCATATCTAGGAGGCAGGATAGAAAAGGACCACTGGTGGCATTCCCTCTTTGACTGCCTCTTTCTTATTCTATTTCAGAAGAGTTAATTTCAGAGGAGCTGGATTCTCCTATTCTACACCCAGCACAAGGTCAGCAGGTTGTAATTATTTCTCTGCATGTATGTGTATCCCACTTTCCTCCCAATAGGAGCAGAGGGGGCTGAGGATACAGTAGCAGATGAACTGCAGGAAAATAAAAAGTAACATTTGTGACTTTATTCAACAACAGCCCTCCTGGATAAGGTGGTCTGGGCTAATCATTTGGTTTGGTGCCAGATGAAAATCTTTCAACTCAGCTAGGTTTTTTTTACAGACGTTTCCCACCCAGATTCAAGTAATTCAGCATGGTAGCACAAGGCACCACCAGGGCAATGGGACTTTGTCCTCTCCTCACTCTGCTCGCCTCAATCTTCTCTGGAGGGTCATAAAACTCTGCAGAACAGAGTTCAGAGGGAGGAGTCAGGAAATTGTCCCATCTGACAAGCAGAACTGCCTTTGCTGGCGTTGAATTCCTCCCTTGAAGTTTTACAGTGTGAGCTTCTCCATTTTAAACTGAGTATCAGTTCTTAACATATCCAAGAGAAACTTGGATGTGATTTGGAAGTCTTGGGCTCATCTCCCACCATGCTAATTTTATTTGTTGTCCCTGCTTGCTTTGTATGTATTCCCTCCCTCTTCACCTTCCCAGGTGCTTGTGGCTGCACACCAAGCAATGCATCATTCAGCAGAACTAACCCTGGACATGGTGCGGAAGGCAGGTAAGGCTTAACCCTTTCTCCCCCACTCCATTTCACCAAAAAAGACCCATCTTGCCATTAGGCACAGTGAAGCAGCTGCCTCAGGTGGGCAACAGGTATTGGAGGATGGGAAGCAATGGGGAGGCTCTGAAAGTCGTTACTCAGAATTCAGATCAATTCTCGGGAAATTGCATGTATGATGAACACTTCTGAAGACAGATATGTGTGTTCCTGTAAAGAGAAAGAGAGAGAGATTCCACCAAATGTGGGAAATGCACCAATTTCTTTATGGCTGTAGCTTTTATCTACCACTGCATATTCATCTAACCTCAGCGACCATTTACCTGTACTCTGGTGTTTAGCTTTGCCTTGAACTGTATCAAACTAGCTATGGTAATTTTGATGTGGTTCTAAACCTGCCAGAGACTGTTTTAATGATATAAATGTAACATTATATTCTTGATTTATTCTAATCTATAAAGGTATGATGGGATGAATACTCTGCTTCAGTTTGTTACTGTTTTTAAAGGCATACTTACATTTTCTTTAATAAATGTAGCTTACAATCCTTTATCACAGTATTTAAAGCAGGAGTCACCAACCTTTTAGACGGGTGGTCCATTTTGAATCTTGAGAGCGTGTCTGTTTTTTCCTGCCTCTGGGGGGTGACAATGCAGATGGATGGAGAAGACCATCACAGACAGCCTGGTGTCCACCCTGGAGAACTTGCGAGAGAACGAACTCAAGAAGTTCAAGCTCAAGCTCCATGAGTTTCCTGTTAAGGAGGGCTGTGACAACATCCCCCGAGGGACATTGGAGAAGGCAGATGTGGTGGACCTGAGCCTGCTTCTGCTGAATTTCTATACAGGGGATTATGCTGCACAGGTGACAGCTGATGTGCTCAGAACCATCAACTGCAGGGATGAGGCAGAGAGGCTCCTCAGGCATTGCAGGAAGGGGTAAGAAAAGAGGAATGCTGGCAGCCCACCCCCAACATGGACAGCAATTCAGATCATCCCTACTTGGGGACTAAGGAGCCGGAAGGAGGAAAGTGTTACATCAGGGATAGCCAAACTATGGGAGATGGATTGAGGATTAAATCTGTAGATTTTGATCTAAACCTCCTCTTCTAAGTGTGTGGGAGAAATGCAAATGAAATCTAGCTGTGAAGCCTTTTTCGCAAGCACCTATGAGTTTTGCAGTTTACTAAAGCTTAGGAATTAAGCAAGCCCACCATTCAATCCCTTTCAATTGCAGTCTGCTTACCTTCCTGCTCTTCACCTCCATTGCAGAGAATGCACCACACATTTTAGTAAGATAATTGGAAAAGGCTTTCCTTACGTTTCCATGCAAGCAGCATATACAGAAAAAGTAGTATAGTATGCAGAAAAATACTTCTAAGTTACAATAAAATTGCAGTAGTCTTAGCAAACATGACTGAAAGTAGGAGCCTCAACCACACAGGTCTGCTCAGCTTGAAGGCATGGTGGAAAGAGAGAGTCTTGTCACAGGCAGAAGGAAATATAAATAATTGTCTACTTTTTTACAGAGTTCCTGCCCAGAGGAGCCAAAGGAAATGACCACACACACAGAGTCCTCTCTAGGAAGTTCAAGAACTCTGTGTATACTAACCCTGTACTGTCTAGCAGAACATTTGTTCTTATGGCTGCAACCCCCACACAAATTAGTGCTCTTCAGCTGTCAATTTTTTAAAAATTGAATGTGTATACCACTTAGTTGTAAAAAATCCCTTCACAGTTTCTTAAGAATACCAAATAAACATTAAAATTTCTGATAAAAGTCAGAAATTAAAAATGATTAAAAAATCAAAATATGAATAATATCAGTGGTTAAAAATATAACTTTATAAAAGTAAAGTGCATATTAAAACACTTGTCAGCTTTAGCTCTCTGAGCAGGCCTGTCTCAACAAAGAAGTTGTTTCACGTTCTAAGGATATTTCTCCAGAGGCCAGAGAGATCCTGGTAGTGGATGCTTCAATGACTGGCAACATGGACAGCTGTGAGCTGGGCACACAGACTGCTGGGTGACTTGCTTTCCTGGCTTCCTCACATTCAGAGTGTGCTCAACAGAGGCTGACTCCTTACTTTGCGGCAATACTGATCTCCTATGTGAGATAAGAGGATCTGTGATCATATCATACCACTTTGATTCATGGCCTAAGCATCTGCACGAATGGAAGACAATTCCTTGTTGCTGGTCCAAGCAGTTCCATACACTTTCCTCACTTCCTGTGTCTCACCTCGCCCTGTGGTTTTCAACCTCTTTAAGTCCACGGCTTCCTTGACCAGCCACTCATCCTTTCTGCAGCTCCCCTATGGGAGCCACTGACTCTGGGGTTCTGCTACAAGGCACACATACTGGGGAATCTCTCCATTCCGTCCCACCCCTATTTTTGGCACACATGTAAGTGGGAGTGCATGTGTCAATGGGAAGCCAAGAAACGCCACTGCTCTGCAGGGCTAAGCTGATGGACTCCGCATGGCAGCCCAGCTTCCCTTTGGTTGGGTGGGGGGCATGGAGAGGGCAAAACAAGATTAGGATCAGAAGCAGATTTTTTTTGTTACCGTGGAGAAGGAAAACCAAGAAACACACAGCACTGGACAAACATGCAGACACGATCCTTTCCTGCAACATTCTCCTGCACGCACACACACCCCATCAAGCTACTTTGTTAGTTTCTTGCATTTCTCAAACCCTCTATGTAAAACTAAGGAACTGTTAGTTACTGAAGCTGGGGAGGATTTTTGCTTGGAGGAGGGAGATCTTCAGAATATAAACAGTCATGCAAAAGTGTTTGCCACTTTTTTTGTCACTGTTTTATTTTGGGAAGGTAATGGGTTGCAAGTTAAAGCTGCCAGCTCCCCTGAATGTTCCTCAGAATGAAAGAGAGAAAGAGAGAGAAAGGGGGAGAGAGAGAGAGAGAGAGAGAGAGAGAATGCAGGAATATAAGTGTTGCAAGTTAATGAAAGCACAGCTCCCCTGAATGTTCCTCAAGTCACCCCAGTGACCCCATCTGAAAATACCCACAACAACAGGAATTCTAAGCTGAATTAAATATAATGTTGTGGAACACAGAAAGAGAAATAGGGGTGCTTGGTTTCTAAATCCAGGCTTGTATTTCCCCCTTTTTGGCATGTCTGTCCCTCTGAAATCACCCTGATTGATTCACTGGGCAACAATTCTTTACTTTTTGAATGTTGTCTAGATTTCTACAACTGATTTAGGGTATTTTTGCACTGCTGAATCAGGAAATGGCATCCGTTTCTCTCCATCAGGTCAGGTTTTTGTGTTATGCTGATTTGAAAAAAATCAGATCTTGTGACAAAATCAATTACATTTTTGTGGCATTATCAGCTGATTTTTGTCAACACATATCATCCTAAATATGTTTTTAAGAGAAAAAATGTTTTTCCAACAACATATATTGATTACCTGATAGAAACATTGATTACTGTAAACTGAATGGTGGGCATTGATAAAGGTAAGTACACGTAAATTGCATGTTGCTTCACCATTTTTCAAACTTCAGGGCTTGAACTTCCGTTTCTTGGAACTCCTGGAATGCTCAGTGGCAGGGAGGTCTCTCTTCAGAGTCCAACAGTAGTCAGCCATCATGACTGCATCCCAGCGACCCTGATACCTGGTCTCCATCTCTTTCATGTCCTGATGGAATCTCTCCCCTGCTCGTCACTCATTGAACCCAGGTTCTCAGGAAACCGGTCCATATGTGAAAATAGGTAGTGCATCTTGACGCTCATGTTGCAGCCCAGGTTTCTGAAAGCAGTCAGCATGTTGCTGACAAGTTCTGCGTAGTTTCTGGCCTTATTGTTGCCAAGAAAGTTCTTCACTACCAGAACAAATGCCTTCCACGCTTCCAGTTCCATTTCGTTCATTGAGTTTCCGAACTCTGGATCTCTGATGAGCTGATGGATCTGAGGACCGTCAAAGATGCCAGCTTTCAACTTCTCCATGATCAATCCTGGAAAAGCCTGGCACAAGTAAGTGAAGCAGTCACCATCCTTGTCCAGAGCCTTGGTGAATTGCTTGATTAAGCCGAGCTTGATGTGCAGCGGTGGGAAGAGTATTCTGTCTCTGTCCACCAGAGGGTCGTTGTTGATGTTCCTTTAACTTAGTTTTGATCCCCCAACTTTATGCTTTGCCGCACCAATTTATGGAAGATTTCAAGGTTTTATGACTTCAAACTGATCCCTTTTTGACATAATCACCCAGAACTATCGGACCTGAATACTTCTTGTCATTAAAATAATCATTTCTAATCAAAACAATTATTCGACATGGCATTTTACCCCCACCAACGTCTTCTAAAATGCTCCACACAAGCGTACATGTGAACAAAAATGTAAAAAAATGACATGTGGCCATAGCTCAAAAACTTGACTTGATTAAGCAAAACCAATGTGATTTTTGGATTCAGCATATCAGATTCGTCCTAAATCAACTGAAAAAATGCAGACAACAAATTTGTTGTTGACCAGTGATAACATGGTGATTCTTCAGCATCAATAGATCTTGAGTATGAACCTCCAAAGTGTTTCTGCAAACATCTTCCCAGGGCACAAGGACTCAATATTTCTATGATTCACACCTGCCCTACACTGTACTTTGAACTTTAGTTTTATGCCTACCAACCCAGCTAATAAAGTTTCCTGGTAGCATGAGGATTTCAGGCAGGTTACTGTAAACAAAGGCTGGACCAGTGATCTCTTCCTTGTAGGCAGCAAGGTGGAAAAAGATCGGACATGGATGAATCCGTATATGAGCATTGGGCTTGTGGGCTCCTGCAGAGATCCATCTGGTCTCTGATGCAGCTTAGCATTTGCATGAAACTGCTGGAAGAGTTTTATTTGGAAATTTCTCATATGGTTTCATGGAGCCAATTCCTGGGGTGGGGAGCTCCCTCACTGAAGGCCATAGGAGCCAACTCCTAGTGGCCAAGGACCCTTTGCCCCCCCCCCATAAAATATGCGATCCCCCCAAAAAGTTGACAGTCATTGACATTCAATCCATGACTCTTGAATTAAGTAGAATAGGAAAGATCTCTACACATCATATCAATACTCTCTGCACTAAGAAATGCAGACTGATAGCGTATGCATCGCCTCATGTGATCGATTATGCAAGGCTGGGCTTCTCTGCCGCTCTCCAATGTGTTCTTCAAGTTGGCACTCCTGACCCCCACCCACCAGGTTTAATATCTTGGCTGCCACGCTGCAAGTAAATGAAAGTTTCTGTGGCAGGATTATGCCTCATGCAGTTAAAAATAAAAGCACTCACTGCCTAAGTTGGTTCTTTTCCAGTCCGCTCGATTGCCACGCTGTGTGTGTGTGTGTGTGTGTGTTTGTATGTGGAAAATGTTCCGGTGGGCTCTTTGGTTTTTCTGTGCCAGTCTCCTCAGCTGCAGCCCTTACAAGGTGGGGCATGACTTGGCTGACATGCGGAGTGGGTATTCTGCATTTCTTGGAGGGGAGCGCTGTGCCCTCCTCAAAAGAAACTAGCCTCCGAGAGCGCAGCACAAGTGCCAGAAGGCACGCATTTCAAGCCCACGCCCAGGAAGAATCCTGGGAACCACAGTTCACCTCTGAGAGATCTACAAGTCCCAGCACCCTGAACAAAATCAAAGATTCCTTTTCTGTGGGTGGGGTGCTTTAGATTTCCAAAGGACGAGCAGGTCTTTCTTGCGCGCCCCCACATTTTCCTGCTCTGCCTCCTCGCCGCTCCTCCCGGCTTCAGATCCTGCGCAAAGGGAGAGCAAGAGCGGATTCTCTTCACCCCCGTCTTGCAGCCAAAGCGCCCCTGCAAATCTTGCGAGGGCTGCCTTCGGAGGTCTTCCCCCGAGAACCGCTCAGCCAAGTTCTTCCAACGCAGGGCTGGGCTGGGGAGCCCGAAAGGTGAGCTGCTGGAAAGACGCCCCTTCCGCCCTCCCCGCCCTCCAGTCTCCTGCTGCTGCCGGAGGGAAGGATCTCCAAGAGTTTCCTCGCCAAAGGGAAAAGAAGGCGACGCGCAGGGCAAGAGACGGGGCTCTCGGAGCGGGTTTCCTGCTGCTCACCGGCCAGGCCTCTCTCTTTCCCGGCGAGCTGGCCCGGGGATCGCGCCCACCTGCCTCTCTGCCTTGGCACAGTCTCCAGATCTTCTGAGTTTTTCTCTGGCCGAGGCTTTGGCTGGGCTGGTTTTGGTGGAGAATGAGCGCAATGGGGACTAAGTTCTTCTTTTTCACAAAACCGGTCCGTGCCATCATGCGGGATATGCAATCCGCCGCTTTTCTCCTTCTGGACACCTTGTTGCAGTTGAGGCAGGGGGACACTGAGAAATTCAAGGGCGAACTGCTCAGATTCCCGGTCAAGGAGGGCGTCGGAAGAATCTCCGAGGAGTTGCTCAAGGAAGCCATGCCTTTGCAGCTCGTAGAGCTGCTGTTCAGCTACTACGGTGAGGCTTATGCTGTGGAGGTGACGGCCCTGGTGCTGCAGGCGATGGACTACAAGCCGCCGGTGGACGATCCCTCGGGTATCACCTGGCTAAGTAAGGGACTGGGAGCGGAGCGGGGGTTCGATCCGACAGATGGTGCTGACACCTCGCGGGTTCTGTCAGTACCGAGAGCTCAGCTCCCTCCCATGGTTGCCTTCGTCCTTGGGTGGGTAAACCTTTCCTGCTCGAGTCCCCATATCCTCCTGGGTAACATTCCAAAGAATCATAGAATCTAAGAGTTGGAAGTGACCCCAAGGGAGATCTAGTCCAACCCCTTGAAATTTAGGGATTTCAGCTAAAGCATCCATGGCAGATAGACGGCCATCCAACCTCTGCTTAAAAACCTCCAAGGAAGGAAAGTCCACCACTTCTCGTGGGAGTCTGTTCCACTGCTGAACGGCTCTTACTGTCAGAAGGTTTTTCCGAATGTTTAGTCGGAATCTCTTTTTTTTGCAGCTTGAAGCCATTGCCTCAAGTCCTACCTTCCAGAGCAGGAGAAAAGAGCCAAAGGCCAGTGGGGGGTGTGGAGGTCCAGGGTGAAATCAGCAGAATGATGGATGTAAATATTCCCTGTGTAAAGTGCGGTGGCGTCTTCCCACACCCCTCTGCCCTCCATCTGAACCAGGGCTGGCCCAAGACATGTTAGCACCTGAGGCAAAACATTACACGGCATCCGCTCCCCACCAAGGAAGAAGGAACATCAGAAACAGGGTGGGAAATAAATGTAGAAGCCAGCAAATAGTTGAGAAGAGGCCTTTAAGTCAAGAGAGTCTTCAAACCCTCCTGGATCAGTTTCTCTCTTCTGGGCCAGGCTGAGCTCCTTCAATCACCTGAGAGGCTAGAAGGATGGGAAGCTGCCTTCGGGCACATTGGGCCAGTGGGTCCATCTAGTTCGTTCCAGGGATTTAGGCAGGAATCTTTCCCAGCCCTTTCTGGATCCTCCAGGGATTAAACCTGGGATCCTTTGCATGCATGTGATCTAGTACAAATCCACAGCCCTTCCCTACTTAGTCCAGTCTGAAAGTGCTCCCTGTTCATTGTGCTCCAACAGGAAGAGAAGGGGAATGTAGGAGTGCTGGATTTTTTCTGTTCAATATGGCTACTAACATCAATAATCACCACAGTGCAGATTACACATTTATGGCTGCTGGCCGCACTGAATACCTTGAAGGAGTCAGATCTGAAGAAGTTCAAGAAGGATCTCAGCATGTTCCCCGTCAAGGAAGGCTATGTCAGTATCCCCAGGAAACTGCTGAAGAAAGCAAATGCTTGGGAGCTCACAGAACTGCTTCTTGCATACTGTGATGAGGATTATGCTGTGGAAGTGGCTTCAGAGGTGCTGAAAGCCTTTGACCGTGAGCCCCTGCCAGAATGTCCCCCGAGTTTCACCAGGAAAGGTAAGGAACTTGGAAGGGAGAACGTTGGCTGAGTCTGATGGGACTGGGTGGAGAGGAGGCTTCTTGAACAGGGCTGTGTGTGTGTGTGTGTGTGTGTGTGTGTGTGTGAAACCTATGTGCCAATCTGTGTATGTCTTCTTGACATTGTGGGAATGTTAAGGAAGGTTGGAGATGATATATTGTTTTGATATTATCCCTCCTCACGCTAGTGATAAATAGCAGAGCACATTCCCTTTTCAACTTATAGGAAGCAAGTTGATTCAAATAGGCCAAGGGTTTGACTCAGTAACGCTTCTGATGTGCACTCACTTTCTCAATATCTAGCAGCAGAACGACTTTGTGAAATGCATGTTTCAAGGCACCGGTCAGCTGAATTCTTGTCCTCAAAAATTAATCAAGCTCTGGAGAAACTGATTCCATCAGAAAAAGCCACCAAAGGGTAATTTCTGTACTTATATAATTGACTGAAGCCACAATTTTAGCTACAGCTTTAGCAGTGTTTTCCCCCTCTCAACTAACCCTTCCAATCCAAAGCAAATGTAAAATCTATTGCTCTTAAAACAATACAAGTCAGTTCGCAAGCTCTCCTGCTTAAAACAAAAATGCTTTAGCACTAATTTAACAAGTGTCTGGAGGTGATTGGAGGATGGATGGCAGCTAACAGATTGAGGTTGAATCCTGACAAGACAGAAGTACTGTTTTGGGGGGACAGGGGGCAGGCCGGTTTGGACGACTACCTGGTCCTGAATGGGGTAACTGTGCCCCTGAAGGACCAAGTGTGCAGCATGGAGGTCATATTGGACTCAAAGCTGTCCATGGAAGCGCAGGTCAATTCTGTGTCCAGGGCAGCTGTCTACCAGCTCCATCTGGTACGCAGGATGAGACCCTACCTATCCGCAGACTGTCTCACTGAGTGATGCATACCTGGTTATCTCCTGCTTGGACTACTGCAATGCACTCTATGTGGGGCTACCTTTGAAGGTGACCCGGAAACAACAATTAATCCAGAATGTGGCAGCTAGACTGGTGACTGGGAGTGGTCACTGAGACCACCAGTCCTGAAAGACCTACATTGGCTCCCAGTACGTTTCCGAGCACAATTCAAAGTGTTGGTGCTGACCTTTAAAGCCCTAGGTGGCCTTGGCCCAGTATACCTGAGAGTGAAACAGAAACAGAGAGTGATGGTTGGCTGGGGGTAGACAGCAAACCAAGGGAGGGAGACAGGAAGGCATGTGGGTGGGCAGTGGTGGGGAGAAAATATTGGGGGGGCTATGCCCCCAGAAGAAAATTATTGGGGGGTTGGCCAAAGAACCCTCATTGGCATTTATGGTAAGGAAGCAGTCTGTATCCTAACTATGTTCCAATTCTCCTCTCCCCACCTTCTGTTGCCTAAATAAAATAAATGTTTCTGCCACAGGTCATTGGAAAGATCCACAATCTCTAGTGATGAGATGATCTACAAGGGAAGAAAACAATTAATGGAAATTCTTGAAGCGGATATTGAACTTTTTTTAGACGTGCTATGCTTTTGCTATGTCATCACTCTGAAAGAATACAGAGAGATTTTCAAAGTGTGGAAAATTTTAAAGAGGAAAAGTAAAAAATTGCTGAGTATAATCCAGGAAAGAGGGGAGCAAGCTTGTTGCAGGTTCCTGGAATGCATAGAAATTGTACGTCCAGGTTCAGTTCTGATTTTGCTGTCTGCAAGGCATGGTGAGTTTGACTTAAACTTCAAGGGCAGTTCAACTTACTTCCTCCTTGCAACAGTCATGTCAGGCAAATAACTGTCTTCCTTTTACAGGTTTGGATCAAACTCCACTCAAGGCAGTTGGCCAAATAGGGCCACAGCGGGAAGAAAGCAGGAAGCTGGAGAACTCAGCAAGTTCTTGGGAAAGTGTCCTGTGTGACTTGCGTCTCAGGGAGGTAAGAGGCTGACCTCTATTGATGTGCATTTTTCACCCACAGGAATAAGGTACACATTGATATTTTTAACATGAAGCCACTGAATTTAAATTTCTAGTTCCCTAAGGATAGCATTTATCCCATCCTTGGTAATTATTTACATATTTGCTAATGGCTGATAGCAGGAAATAAGGCTGCATCTAGCCAGGTGGTTCCTGTGGGAATGTTGTGGGTAGCAGGAGAGGATATATTGATTTAATATTATCCTTCCTAACTCACACTAGTGCGTTTATTCATACAGCAGAGTGCATTCCCCTCTTTACACAGCAGGAAGCTAGTTGCAGATTCGTTAGAATCTCTTAAGTTCTGTTATTCATGGCAAGACCCCTTTGATTCCCTCGTAAAAGAATAAAGACACAACAGTCTTCTTTTAAAAGTAATAAGAAGTTTACTCACATTCAGTTCACAGTTGGATCCCTGAAGGCAGGCTTTAGCTTAGAGTTACAGAAGAAAGTTTGAGTTCATCCCATATGAGAACTCATCCCACATGCTGCTGCTGAGAGCCAGAAGTGCAGTCCAAGAGAAGAAAGGGCATCAAAAGAGGGAAGGTGGCTGCGTGACTGGACATTTTGTTAGGTCTGGAAGGGTCACACCCACCTACCTGGTCACAATCAAAGGAAGGATGTTCCAGACCAGGTGTAACAGGAAGTTCAACTGGCTGGACCAACATTCCCCTGCATGTCCACTCTAGGCAAACAGGAAATGTTGTATTTGACTGCTTATGTTACATCCCACAGCTCCTTGTGCTAATAACTCATGGTGAGTGTCACACTGTTTCCATTTAGTCAGGAATCGTCTTGCCTTGCTCTTATTTTATGGGCCAGTTGATGTCACATTTCAAATCCTCCCATATTTTCCAGTGCTTAAACTCTTTCCATTTAATAAGATCATTGCACGTCTGCACAATTGTAATGCTGTGATTCCAGTTTAGTGTGGAATCCTCTTGAGTCACATCTGCTTTAGAAGGGCCCATTTGATGTGGTCATCCATCTGTTAAACTCCCATATTTTTCAGTGCTTTAAACATTTTTTATTAACACGCATTCAACTCATGTTAGGCATCTTCAGATGTCAGTGTGTGAACACCTGTCCAGAAGATAATTCTCTGAGTGCATCTTGACTCCTGGTTACATGCATATTTTCTAAATTCCAGGATACTGCTTTGCTGTTATCCCTACTTATCTGGATGATGAATATTATTGAATGTGTTTCAGTGTAATGAGATCTTACAATGAGAAGGAAGAATGTTGCATTAAACATACATTTTTTATTTTTTTTTACTGATAAATTTTTATTGGTATTATACATATATACATATAAACTTATACAAAGTCCAATACTTAAATTACACATAATATATTCATTCCATAAATCATAAATACATTTATTTTAGGCTCTGCCAAGCCTTGAACTTCCTTCCACTCCTTTGGTAAGTATCAAATAGACTTTATATTCACGTATTTTATCTCTTTTACATAATAACCTTTTACTGTTAGAGTTATTCCAATCCCGCCAGTGTCGTTTAAAGTTTAGTCCCAATATATATCCAATATTTAATCCAATTATCATGAAATTTCTGTTCATCTTGATCTCTTATTCTTCCTGTTATTCTAGCGAGCTCGGCATAATTTGTTAATTTAATCTGCCAATCACTTATATTAGGTATGGCGTCCGTTTTCCAATTTTGTGCTAACATGATTCTTGCGGCTGTTGTGGCATATAAAAATAGTACCTTATCTTCTTTTTTGATTTCTTTACCTGTCATTCCTAGCAGAAAGGCTTCGGGTTTTTTTGGGAAACGTGTATTTAAAAAAATATTAAGCTCGTTATAAATCGATTCCCAAAAGCCTTTCACTTTGCTGCATAACCACCACATATGGTAGAAGTCACCATCTACTTCTCCACATTTCCAACATCTTTTGTTCTTTAACCTATAGATCTTAGCCAGTTTCACTGGTGTGAGGTACCACCTAAATATCATTTTCCACATATTTTCCCTTAATGCCATACATGCCGTGAACTTCATGTTAGTATTCCATAATTCTAGCCATCTCTCAAAATCGATGTTATAGCCGATGTCTATTGCCCACTTAGTCATAACCTCCTTCACCTCCACATTAAACATACATTTTAAAAATAATGCTAATATCATCAGTTTACTAACACACCGTACTTCAGGAATCAGTCTAGGTTAGTCTACTGTGGCCAAAATGAATACAGAGCACAGCAGGTGAAGAAGAAGCTGTAGCAGTGTGTAGTTGTGGCTTTGGCCTCAAGTGGTGCTCCTTGGTGTGGTCACAGGGGTGTTAGAAACAGACAAGAATGCTGCCTTTTCAGATGGGATCCACATTCTGGCATCCACATAAATGATTACAGTTTCATTATAGGATCTTCCAGAAAAAATGAAACCAGAGGTGGTTTCAGACTCAGAAAGGGGCAACGAAGCACACAGGTGAGTGATCTCTCCATCAGACATTTAAAAACCTTTTCCATTCAGGGAACGGTTTTTACATTTAATTGTTCCACAGAGCACATCTGGTTTCAGTGGGTCTCACAGTCATCAGATATGGTGGTGCTCCCTAAAACATACACAGAGTACATCTACAGTATGTTCTGCACATTGCAATGAACAGTTGGCCATGGTGGGCAAATTCTGTCTCAAGGAAGCTTACCCACCAGTCCTGATCTCTTCACTGAGGAACTCCTGGGTCCCTCAAATACAGCTGGAAAATCATTACCTTGGAGCATTGCTGTTGCTTATTATTTCCAGGAGGGTGAAAAATATGGAACTCTGGATTTTTTGAGGAATTGTTGTTTCTCCTCCTTAAATATATTTTTATTGATTTGATTTAAGTCATATTCCACCTTTCTCCCAAGGAGTTCAAGGTGGCATGCATGGTTTTCCTCTCTGCATTTTACCCTCACAAGAACCCTATGAGGTACTTTAGGCTATGAGGCAGTGACTGGCCCAAGGAGCTTCTTGAAGGAAGGGAGTTGTCTCCTTACCTCCCTCCCTCCCTGCCATTTCCTAAGCTTTCTTGCCACTCCCCTAAAATCTATTTTTTTTGTTCTTTTCTACTAGAAAAAGAACCATTCATGCCATTTTTTTCAGTTGAGGTATTGGAGTTGTGTTTCCACATCTCTAAGCCAATACTCACATAAAGGAGTATAGGTGTGCACAGTTCTCTTGTTAGTCTTGAGTAGCTTTCTGCATTCTTTGATATTTCATGATCAGATGTTCTCAAGTGCAACTTGCCCATCTCATTCTATGTGAGAGGATCCAGACCAGGGGCCCTCTGAGGACACAAGACAACTGGGACCAAGGCAGGTACAGAACTGACCTGCTTGTTTTTCTTTTCTTCTTCTTTTTTGAATTTGCATTTTATTTAACATTCTTATATTACATCGGTAAATGTTGACATATTACATTACAGGACTTACTATAATATAATTTCCAACATGTATACAAAAATTATATACAAATTTTATATACCTAGAAAGAAAATAAAACAAAAAGAAAGAAAGAACAAAGAGAAAAAACAAAAACAATTCCCCCCCAAAAGATCATATACATACCAACACACTAGACTTCCTGTCTATTCCGTTGTATATTCCTTTTTTACAAATGAATGTACTCTTATTATTGTATATTTCTTTACATTTTATCTAATACATTCCTACATCAATATGTGCTTTTAGTCTTATTTCTCAACTCATTCTCGCTCCAACGTCAATCAAATGCTAGCATAGATAGCGAACCATTACTGTATTTTTTAACATATGTTTTATGCCTATCCCACTTTTACATAAATTTTTGTTTTGAATCGCCTCTCAGGGTATTTGTTAACTGCGCCATTTCAGCAAATTATTGTAGCTTGTAATGCCAGTCCGTTATTGTCGGGGCTTCTTGTTCCTTCCACCCCTTTGCCACCAAAGTCCGAGCTGTGGCTGTTGCATATAAGAATACCTTCCTAAAGGCCATTGGGATGTCCCTGCCAACAAGGCTTAACAGAAATGCCTCTGATCTTTTTAAAAAAGTTATTCCAAACATTTTTTTCAACTCCTCGTAAATTAAGCCCCAGAATACTTTGATCTTCCTACATGTCCACCACGTATGATACATGTCGCCATTACTCCCACCACACCTCCAACAAGTATTCGCTAAATTTTTATACATCTTCGATAGTCTTGAGGGGGTGAGGAACCACCTGTGCTGCATTTTTAACATATTTTTTTTATGTTATAACACGCTGTAAATTTCATATTTGTTCTCCAAAGCTCTTCCCATTTGGCCATCATTATTGGACGTCCAATGTCCTGTGCCTATCTAATCATTGTTGCCTTAACCATCACCTCCTTAACTTTCCATTCCAGGAGGAGTCGATATATTCTCGAAATTACCCTGATTTTATTATTTATTAATTCTGTTTAGAGGGCTGATTATCAAATCAAGTATTTTTATCTTGTTTAAATATTTTGTATATTTCATGGTATTCCAACCAACCAGAAAGCTGGTCTTTTATCTCCTCATATTTTCTAAATTTAATTTGGCCGTCCTCTTCTAACAATAAAGAATTATATGTTATCCAGTCTCCTTTCATGTTCTTCTTTTTTACCATGTTTGCTTCAGCTGGCGATATCCAATATAGAGTCTTTTATATTTTCCCCAAACTCTAAACAGGGAATTTCTTACTACGTGGTTTGTAAAGATCTTATGTACTCTATACTTATCATAATTTCCAGTTCACAGTTGGATCCCTGAAGGCAGGCTTAAGCTTGTAGTTACAGAACAGAGTTTGAGTTCGTCCCATATGGGAATGAGCCCCTTGTGCTGCTGGCTGAGAGCCAGCAGACAGCAAAATACATCAGTATCAGCATCAAAAGAAGAAGAACAAAAAGAAGGGGGGGGGAGATGGCTGCATGACTAGCCCTTTTATGGGGTCTCCCAGGGTCATACCCATTTACCTGGTCACATGCAGGGGGAGGAAGCTCCAGACCAGGTTTGACAGGAAGTCCTCCTGGCTGGAGTAACACCCCCCCCCACATGTCCACTCTGGGCAAACAGGAAGTGTTGTACTTGACTGCTTATGTTACATCCCACATAACCTACCCTGGGAGCTAATGGTAAAGCCTGGGTAAAAAAAAAAAATCAATCAATCAATCAATGTATGTACATACATGTTTCGGGCTTTTCACCAGAACTTTCCTATTTAAATAACATGCAACGAGCTGTTACAGCTACCACGGCCCAAACTAGATGTGATAGTGGCTGCTTCCCTTATTAGAACTGGCTCCTCCCCATCACTTTAAAACAGTGTGCTTTTTGGTCCAGTGGTTAGAGCTAAATGGGTACATGGGTTACAGAACTCTTACCATGGTTACTGAGTATGATAAATTTCCCTGGCATTCTAGTATCACCAACACACAGGTAAACAGAAGATGAGTAGTTTCTTTCACCAGCTTGCTTTGCTCTGTTTTAAGACACCATTTTAAAAACAGCTCAGTATAAGAAAAAAAAACACCTTTTTTATTTATTGGTTGGCCTCATAGCAGTTGTTCTTCAGTTGTGCTTCACCAGGAGATATCCTTCTATCAATTTTTTACCTCCTTTAATCAGCATGTGAAGCATCTCCTGCCAAAATATCAATTAGACCAGTGGAGGAAGTTATCCCGATTCATGTTCTACCTGATTCCCCTTTCATCTTTCCTTTTTGCCATTCAGAGTGGGCTCCACTGAGGATGGCTTCTTCTGTTGCTGTGACACAGATCTCATATGTGAGGTGAGAAAGGTCAGTACTGCATGCCTCTAAGGTCTGCACCCCAGTTGACCTAATGAGAACATCAGCCTTTTGTGTAATTGTGGGTTTGGCTTTAAGCAGTGCTCCTTGGTGTGGCTGCAGGGGTCTTAGACAAGAATGCTCTGTTTTCAGATAGGACAAAAGGTCTGGCAGCCATATTAACGATTGCTGTGTTACAGGATCTTCCAGAAAAAATGAGACCAGAGGTGTTTTGGGACTCAGAAAAGGGCCATGAAAAATACAGGTGAGTGATCTTTTTGAACTGTTTCCTTTTGGGATTCAGAGACCATGGAACACATTTGGTATATGTTGATCTCATAGTCATCACACATGGTGGTGTTTTCTAAAATGTATCCAATTACACTAGAGACCTGCACATTGCAATGAAAGATCAGTCATGATGGGCAAGTTCTCACTGATATCTTCAATGAGGAGCTTCTAGGTTTCTTGGAACACAGTTGGGAAAAAAACATTACTCTGGAGCAATTCTGTTGCACATATCCAGTTGTTTATCCACTTTGAAGATATGGGTAGCATCATAGACTATAACTATAGAATTGTAGAGTTGGAAGGGACCATGAGAGTTATCAAGTCCACCTAGTTTTTTTACTCACAGGGCAGCCTCACAGCAAACCTGCTTCTCCATGGAATAATGCTGAGGGTGTAGAATGATGAACCCAGGAGGTTTCCTTCCCTAAAAGTTTCAACTTCTAATTCAGTATATGAAGCATCTCCTGCAAAAAAATATACCATATTTTTCTATGTATTGGATGAGGTTTTTTGACACAAAAAAATGTTTGAAAACTGGGGTCATCCAATACACGGAGAGTGGCATGGGGGGAGATGCTGCTGCGCATGGGGAGCGATCTGGGGGCACTGGCTGGTGGCGTGCAGCTTCTCCCAATGCCACAGCGAGCAGGGAGTGATCTGGGGGCACTGGCTGGTGGCGTGCAGCTTCTCCCAATGCCACAGCGAGCAGGGAGTGATCTGGGGGCACTGGCTGGTGGCGTGCAGGGCTGCCACAGCGAGCAGGGAGCAATCTGGGGGCACTGGCTGGCTGGAGCACAACTTCCCCTGGTGCTGCTGCACGAGGGAAACACTCGGTACCTGCGCACAGGAAATGATCTAGGGAGTGTTTCCTGCCCACAGCTGCGTGGGGGGAGAGACTCAACAACTTTGGGCCATCTCCCCTCATTTTCTCAAAACTGAGTCCCCCAAAATGGGGGGGGGGTGTCCCTTATACACAGGGGCATCTAATAGATGGGAAAGTATGGTAAATTAGAACAATAGAAATTCTCTTTATCCATGTTCAACCTACTTCCCCTTTCATCTTTCCCTTTGTGCCATTCAGAGTGCGCTTCACAAAGGCTGGCTCCTTCTATTGTTTAGATACGGATCTCATATGTGAGGTGAAAGAAGCTGTGACCGTAACATACCACTTTGATTCATGGCCTAAGCACCTGGAAGGACAGACCACCGAGGAGTGGCATGTTGCTGGCCCTCTGCTCAACATTCAAGTGGATCCAGTGGAGGCTGTGTCAGCTGTTCACTTCCCTCATTTTCTGTGTCTTGAAGGTATGCTAGGAAACAAAGGCTTCCAATAGTAAGACCAAAATAGGTAGAATCCTTAGCAAGAATAATGGATCAGGAATGCTATGGGGCCAGCAGTGTTGGTTCTATGTATCAATAGTGCTCACTTACCTATCTTTTGTACTTGGTTTCAATTTTGCAATTTTAACTCTGCTATTTATTTCCTATGATTTCTATATTTTCTTTTTGAGCTGCCTTGAGAGGACATTGCCTGTAAGGAGACCAGGGGGGAAAACCTTAGATTATGACGATGATGATGACAACAACACAATAAATGCTTGCATTAACAGGGACGGTGATGAGTTTTGTCACCCAGACTCAAGTTCACCCTTTCCCACTTGTAACAGGTTTCTTTATTATTCCTTTGTGCTCCTTTTCAGATGAAGACAGTTCCCAAGTCCATATTGCTCACTTTGTTGAAGAAGGGATGGTACTGGAGAGGCCAGACAGAGTGGGACCATATCATGTTGTGTTGGAAAATCCTACCTTCTCTCCCCGTGGAGCCATTTTCAGAAAGTCATGGTTTAAGCGAAAGATTAAGGTCCACACTGTGGCACTGCTCTATCAAATGCTTCGATTCAAGGCACCAACATTTCACCTATACCTCCTACCCAATGACTCTTCTGTGAGAAAGGTAATCAGGATTCTCCAACTGATTGGTATTCCAGACAGCCTGGATCATTTGCCTGAACATAGGAAGCCTGACAGAGTAGCTATGCAAAATTATGCATCAGAGTGTGTCATGGTTCATGAACTCATTTACCAAACTGCTCGTCAACATCAACATGCCCCTAGAGAGATTAGTAGTTGCCCTTCACTGAGTTACTTTGGTTTGCACCAGTAGTGATGTTTAAAAGTGACATTTCCAATGCTAGGCAACCTCCTTTCCAGAGGGCAAATGCCATGCCTGGTTCCATAGACAACAGCATTGTCACTGAATTGTGAAAACAAAATATCCTTATGCTACTATTTCTAAGTACACTCAGCCTTCTCTGAAGTTAATGGAGATTCCTTCAAAATAAATGTATTTAGCAATGAAGAAATTCATCTTACTTTGTTTAGGAATTGGTTTGGTATTTACTAGGAGCTTTCTCCAAGAACTCATGAGGGAAATGTTGCTTCTGGTTTGCAAAGTTGGCACATGAGGGATAAGTTGCCTTCTCAATTTCAACTGCTCCTCAGAATACTGTCCTATGTTTTGATCAAAGTGTAATGCCTTCTATGGTTTCCTGGGTTGTCTCATCAGGAGAGGTGGCTGTATTGTTAAGTATAATTGTTTAATTGTACATTGAAATGGAAAATAACTCTGTATGTGTAGTACTAAAAGCGCAACATGTTATGGAAACTTCTACTGAGCTGCAGAGTGCCTAACAGTTAATGATTAGTGAGAATGTATCTCTACCACTCTGTCACGAGGTGTTTAACTTAGATCACGAGGTATTCCGTTACAGGTCTCCATTTTGGTTGTGTGAATTAGCTCTGTGTCTGAAAGCACCAAAGAGAAAGGATGTATGATTCTCTCTCTAGAATGCAGCCTCAGGCTAATGGAGGCTGGAATGGGAGAGGCAGAGCTTTGATTTCAGCTCTGAATGAAGATGTTTATATTTCTAAGATATTTTTACCTGTGCTGGGATCAGCACATGATATTATTATGCAATTATCTGGATGTAACATTATTGTTGTAAGTTTATTTTGGAGCAAGTTCTGTTAGTAAAGCTTTTGATCCATATTTTTGGACTGGGCAATCTTTATTTCATCCTATTGCTTCCAAATGCACAATATTAATAGCCTCAATGTGCTGTGAGAATGCCAAAGGAGAGGTAGGGATCCAATTTTTAGCAGCTTGGTGCCCTTTTTGTATGTCTCAAAAGTAACATTGTTTGTCGTTCACAGGCGGTTGATGAACATGAAGTAAATTGTCCTTCACACAGAATAGAGAAACCCCCTGGGACCCTAAAACCTCTGACGATTGGCTCTCGCTTCTTTGTGGAGGCGAATGATGTCACTGTCTGTCCTGAGGTGAGAAACAAAGAAGAAAGGTTTTGCTGGGGGAGAACCCAGAATGGGAGAAACTATATCAGGATCTTTCTCTACCCTTTAATTTGACTCCCTTAGAACTGGGTGCTATACTAAGCCCTATTCACATCTACAGAGGTTTCATTCTTCCCCACAGGAACTGGAGTTTCAATACCTGGATGCAGAGAAGCTGCAGCAGTACCTAGAACTGTCTGCTGAGCAAATACAAGACAAGTTCAACTTCTCTCTGATAGAAAAGCACACAAATAAGCTTGTTTGGAAGACCCATGTGAAACGAGGTGAGGATTTTTTTTTCAATGGAGGACCACAATCTGGATTGTGGCTTGGGAGGCAGAATGAAAAAGGACCACTAGTCACATTCCCTGTCTGTCTGACTGTCTCTTTCCTGTTCTCTTTCAGAGGAGTTAAATTCAGATGAGATGAATTCAACACAAGGTCAGCAGGTTTTAATGACTTATTTCCTTTTGCTTAACCTGTATGCCTCTCTTCCTCCCAAAGGGAGCACAAGAGTGGCTGGTGATATGGTACTATATACATGGTACAGCAACAGAAATTGTAACATTCTGAAATAGAGATGAGTTGACTTGGCTTTATGGACTTTTTTTTTGTGTCACATGAAGATAACAATAAGAATAAACAGCTTCCAACAAATTAAAACATCAAACACAGTAAAACATCACACATTAAAAACTTCCCTATACATTATCAGATCTCTGGAGATCATGACAGATTAGGGGTCATCATGTGGGGTGGTCAGCCACAGCAGGCTTCTAGCAGTGCACCATACATTTAAAGTCCACTTTATATCACCTCAATAGTCATAGGGAATCCTGTGAACTCGATCATTAAGGGTCTCCTTACAACTCACAGCACCCATAAGAACAGGGTTTTTCTGAATAGATTGGTCACTGCAATGCCTGCCAAACTTCCTCTGCAAATTCTTCACACTGAAAGAGCTTCTGCATTCCTGACTTTCTTCCCCAGCCATTGTTTACTTGCTGGTTTTCAGCTCCCTTCTTGGGGTTATAGGTGCCAATTTGGGCCCCAGGTTATGGGTGCCCAATGGCACCCGCGACGTAACATGACATAGTGACATCACATTACATCAACATAAACTGGAAGTCACGTTGGAAGGCCTGGTAGGGCCTCGGGCATGATCTCAGAGGCCTCACAGGGCCTTGGAGATCATGTACGAGGCCTAGTGAGATCTTTGACGAAACTGCCAGTTTGTACCAGAAGTCATGTTGGAGCCTACGCTGTGGGTGCCAAGCACCCACAATTTTGGGGGGGGGGGCTTGACCCCAGGGCCCCCTATAATTGGTGCCTATGCTTGGGATCATGACTGGGGAAGAGCAATTTAGATGATATTTGGAAGTCCTGGGTTCATCTCTCACCATGATCATTCATCTTCTCAAAGGTACCTGCTTGCATTGTATGTATCCTCACTCTCTCTTCTTTCCAGCCTCTCGTAATGGCACACTCACCAATGCACCACCCAGAAGAACTGACTCAGGACATGGAGTGGAAAGCAGGTAGGGCTTGATCCTTTCTCTCACACTCCGTTTCCAGTCCTACCATTAGGATAATGAGGCAGTTGTGTCTGGCAGGCGGCAGATATTGGGCAGGGGCGGGGAGGTACAATACAGTTTCTTTAAGACTTATTTACATTTGCCTTGATGAAGTTACAATATCTTTAAATAATAGTTACAGAGAGTCACCTAAGGCTGGCTGAAAAAGCTTAGTGCAAATTACTCTTACGGTAGTTCCATCTTCTCAGTCAATTTCATCAGAATGCACTGTAGACTTCAGCTGGTTTGCTTTGAGCCAGTGTTCGATCTCTCTCATGAGAGCCACCAGAGCCCATGTGAGATTCTCCCAGAGCCCAGTAAGCAAGGTGGAGAGCTGAAAAACTTTTTTGTTCAGGATCGTCCTGGTACAGAAAGCACTTTTTTGCTTTCTGCATTGCGTTTATCTGATGAAAATAGGGATGCCCTATTTAATCATCATCATCATCATCATCTGACTGGGTTTCCCCAGCCACTCTGGATGGCTTCCAGCATATATAAAAACATAATAAAACATGAAACATTAAGAAACTTCCCTATACAAGACTAGCCTTCAGATGTCTTCTAAAGGTTGGTTAGTAACTTATCTCCTTGGTTCAGGGGAGGCGGGTCACATACATATAAGCGAAATCTGTGTAAGTTGGGAGTTAACTGTACATTCTCACACAGAAAACAGATGTGCATGGTGCCTCTCTTCCCCACTCCCTCACACTCCCTGCACTTGTGTGGAGAGGGGTAGACATGTTGCCTCTGCATGGAAGTTCCACCCATGCCAGCACTGTTGCTTTGCAATCTTTAAAGAGGAGAGTTGCTCTTTAAGGTGTTTTACTGCTCAGCAATCAAAGATGGCTCTCCAAGCTTTAGAACCCCCTCCGGCTACAGCTCTTCCCGCTCCCTCTGTGCTGATCTAAGTTTTGGAAGTTATAGCAGCACCTCCAAATAATCAGGAGTCCTTCTTGGGTCCCTTTGCTGAACTTCTTTTGTTTTATGCCTGCTTTTCCCTGCCTCTGGGGGGACAACAATGCAGAGCGACGGTGAGGAGCATCAGAGACTGCCTGATATCTACTCTGGAGAACTTGGGTGAGGACGAACTCAAGAAATTCAAGCTCAAGCTCCATGAGTTCCCTGTCATTGAAGGCTACGACAACATTCCCCTGGGGCGGCTGAAGATGGCAGATGCCATGGACCTGAGCCAACTCCTCCTGAGTTTCTACATGGAGGATTATGCCGTGCAGGTGATGGCTGATGTCCTCAGAGCTATCAACTGCAGGGATGAGGCAAAGAAGTTCCTCAGCCTCACTGGGTGAGAAAGGAGGAGTCCCAGCTTGTGGAATTCATTGTGAGGTAGGGCAAATGGATTGTCACCTGCCCCAGCCCCACACCACCCTGTGAGTGGAGGGAGATTGATTCTGATAATCTCTTCATGGGACCTGTGGGGGTGGAAAACTTTATACTACGGTAAGGTAAAAGGTAAAGAACCCATGGACTGTTAAGTTCAGTCAAAGGAGACTTTGGGGTGTGGCGCTCATCTTGCTTTCAGGCCAAGGAAGCCAGCGTTTGTCCACAGACAGCTTTCCAGGTCATGTGGCCAGCTACTGGTGCCTGGAGGACCGTGGCGAAAGCCAGAGTGCACGGAAATACCATTTACCTTCCCACTGCAGCAGTACCTATTTATCTACTTGAACTAATAGAAATTATTATCTAATAAAAAATATTATTAAAAAAAGTAATTTGGCATTGTTTTAATGAGGCTATTATTGGACTGTAACTGAAATAAACCCTGGGGTGCTCAGGGTAGGAGCTAAGGAATTTGGCAGGCCACTTCCTGGGTGTTGGTAGGATAAATCTGTGGGATAAATCAGCCTCATATAACTGACATGCATTGTTGTTGTTGGCATCCTTCTGTCCCAAGAGACAATGGAGTGCACCTCTGGGTGTCAAACCACTGTGTTAGCAGCACTGAAGTGACCTTCCCAGGGCACAAGCCTGGTCAGTGTGCATGGAGGTACTGGGCTGCCCAGATGACAAGACACACACCCCTCAGCCTCACTGATGATCTGGGCCCATAACCGATATCGGAACACCGATATCACAGTCCTCAAACTGAGAAACCTCTCTGGGCGTCTTCCTTCTGGACGCAGCACAGGATGATCGTAATTCTTCAGTCCCGGTGCGCAGCAGCAACACATATCCGAAGACGTGTACACTCGAACAGCTGTGAGGTGTGGCATCTAAGTTTATTAACTAATATATACAGGAGAATGAAATCATGCCATCCCTCTCGCATCTTCTCAGAGAGAGAGAGAGAATACAATACAACGGAAAAGATAGGACTGGCTTCCGTTTCCCACACTTTCCAAGCATGGAATGTAAACATAGACATTTGATGTAACAATCACATATCCAGCAATGGGAGAGAATGAAAATGCTGACAGTGCAAAGAAAAGCAGAGCAATACGTCTGGCACCAGCTTGGCTACAGGAGTTGCCAGAAGGAGGCATACAAGGTGCTATCCAGCCATCTTAGGGACTCCACTCTGGATTTGTGTAGTGTTTACTCCTTAGCCTTTTCTTCTCCTGAATATATCTCGCAAGGCAGTGGAGTTTAGGACCAGAGTTTTCCTTTTCCTAGATGGGCTACCTTCCCAGGTTTACGAGCCACATCTACCCCTCACTTCCCTCTACAGCATGTGCAAAAACTGCCTTCTTGACCATTGGACCCGCTATTGGTCTTATCCGCTCAAGCTGTCAGAACCTGTCTTCACGTGCAGGGGAAGTACCTAACTCACTGAGGGTTTGAGACCCATAGGCTACCCTCACCTGGTTTAGCCAGCCAGTCAAAGCTGTTTCCTGGAGTGTGGCCACTATCGTATGCTTGAAGGAGCCACAAATGAGAGTAGAGTGCAGGGTAGGGACAAAAGATGGGCAAACTACCCCCGAAGGAGCGTGATGTGTCGTCCACCAGAGATACTACCCTTCCCCAATACCCTATACACCCCCTTACATGCCTGACACTAATTAATGCATGAAGGGGTTAAGATCATAGAGTAAGCTGTCCGGCCAGGCTTAGCTCCATATATTTCTCTGGTTTGCATCCCCTGCTTTCTCATGCCTTCCCCTGTACTAATTTATGAACCTGTTCTTTGAACTTTAGTTTGATTTTTATTTTTTATTTCCACCCTTTATTATTTTATTCACATAATATACATTCTTTACAACAAACAACTCCAAAATAAACAGACAACTCCAAAATAAAATCATATGTAACAAAACCTCATGTTTCCATTTACAGTCATACCTCGGGTTACAATCGCTTCAGATTGTGTTTTTTCAGGTTGCAGACCGCTGAAACCTGGAAGTACCAGAACAGGTTACTTCCGGGTTTTGGTGGTCGCACATGCACAGAAGCACCGAATCGCAACCCGAGTGTGCGCAGATGTGGGTTGCAAATGCTGCCGGTTGCGAACGTGCATCCTGCACGGATCACGTTCACAACCCGAGCGTCCACTGTACACTGATCTCCTCTCCAATACCTTTACTTGATATTTTTGCTGCTTTCTGCTTTCCTTATAGAATCTTTATGGAAATTTAAATCTCTTAAATCCTATACCAATCTTTAACAGTTTCAATTAATCCCTTCACCTCCCTCCTCAGTACTTTCCTCCACCCGTGTGCGATCTTCTTTACCTACTATTATTTTTGTTATTGTTGCGTTATTCACATTATTTGTTATTCCATCCTTAATCCTATCTCCTTGCGCCTTTTAAGCTTTTGCATATTATTTTTTAAGCTCCAGCACCGACTTTTTTCATGTATTCCTTAACGCATTCCCACTCTTTATTAATTTTTTTATTAGAGTAGCCTCTAACTGATGTTGTTAATTTTGCCATCTCCGCGAATTCAAGAAATTTGATTCTCCATTCTAATAATTCTGGTATTTTATCAGTTTTCCAGTTTTTTGCCACTACAATTCTGGCTGCCACAGTTGCATAAAGGAATACATTCCTTTTATCCTTAGGAATGTCACTCAATACTAAACCAAGCAAAAAATGCCTCTGGTTTTTTAAAGACTGAACTCCTAAATATCTTTTTAAGCTCTTCATGTATCATAATCCAGAATTGTTTCACCACTTTGCACCCCACCACATATGATACATCATCCTCACCTCTGGTTTGCATCTCCAACAGAGATTTGATTGTTTTTTATACCTTTTTTATAGTTTCACTGGGGTGAGGTACCAGCAGTAAAACATCTTCATTATATTTTCCTTAATCGAATAGCACACTGTAAAATTTATATCAGTTTTCCATAATCTTTCCCATCTGTCTAAATGAATTGTCTGGCCCAGCTCTTGTGACCATTTTATCATTGGTTCTTTTATTACCTCATCTTTCAGTTCCCATTCAAGGAGCAAGCTGTATAATTTCAATATCATTTTCCTCTTTGGTTGCAGAAGTTCACTTTGTAATTTTGATGTTTTCTGTTCAAATCCTATTTTTTTATCTTGGTTGAAGATATGGAACACCTGGTGATATTATAGCCAGCTGTTACAATAGTTCTTAACCTCTTCACAGGGTCTTATTTTTAGTTCACCATGCTCTTTTATTAGTAACTGTTGATATGTTGGCCAGCCCTTTTCCATATTTACCACCGCCAATACTTCTAGTGGGGATACCCACCATGGTATCTTAGGTTCTAACAACAATTGGTAATTTGCCTACACTTTATATAGAGATTTCCTGACTATGTGGTTCAGGAAGTCCCTGTTTACTGCCACTTTATCATAAATTAAATAGGCATGCCATCCAAAGCGGTTGTTCCATCCTTCCAAGTCTAGAATCTCTGTTTTGTCTAGCACAACCCAGTCTTTTATCCATCCTAAGCATGCAGCCTGGTAGTAAATTCTCCAATCCGGAAGTCCAAATCCACCCCTCTCTTTGTTGTCTGTTAACAGTTTATATTTTATACGTGGTTTTTTTCCTTGCCATAAAAATCGGGAGGAGAGGAGTTGAACTTTAGTTTTATGCCTACCAATCCAGATAATAAAGTCTGCTGATGCATGAGAGTTTCAGGCATGTTACTGTAAACAAGATTAAACATTATAAGCAGTATAATGCACTGCAGGGCGGTGATCTCTTCCTTGTTGACAGCAAGGTGGAGAAAGGTTTGGCATGAATTCATACATACATGGCCTTTGGGCTTGTGGGTTCCTGCAGAAAATCACCTGGTCGCTTATGCAGCTTGGCATTTGCATGAAACTGCAGGAAGAGTTTTATCTGGTGATTTATCCTATGGTTTCTTTTCTTTTCTTTTTAATTTTTATTGGAATTTTATTTACAACCTAACATAAACCTCCCACTCCCCAATACAGAAATCCACCCTCATTAAACGTGAACATAACATACAATGAGCATAACAAACAACAATACAAACAACCAAATAAAAGACTTCCTTTATCCTGTATCTGGCCTCTTTATTTACTTCTTATAAGCTGTTTGTTTATGAATAATTATTAAGATTTTTCTAATTATAACGTAAATATCCACAAATTGTTAAAAACTGGAAAAAAGAAACTGTGCCAACAAAAAAGGAATGGCAAGACAAACTGTTAGAGTATATTGAACTGGCTAGATTAACAGAAGCAATTAGAGATCACACTAGACAAAAGTTTCAAAAAGCATGGGGGAAATGCAGAGAACAGTGCCCTAAAATACATACCTGGACTTGTTTCGATTAATGTCCGCAGGAGACTTTGTGAATTTATCCTATGGATTCATGGAGCCAATTCGTGGGCTGAGAAGCTCCCTCATTTGGAGGTCTTCAGGCAGAGTCTTGACAGCCACCTGCTGAACATCCTGTAGGGCTGGATTTTCTGCCTCAGGCCACATGGCCTACAAAACTCCCTCCAGCTCTATAGGATGCTGAGGATACGCCTCCCTCCCCTCCTCACATCCTTTCAGGGAGGATATAGAGGTCTTGAATTCGTGTCTGAGACCTGCCAGGGGACAGGATGTGGGTGCAGAAATGGAATATTAATCGCTGGAATAACTGAGCCAGTTACCTATTGTAACACAGAATGTGCAGCCGCGTGGCTGTTGAATCTGCTTAGAGAGAAGATTTTACCTGTTGCAATCACATGCTTGTATGTTAAAAAATAATACTTGTTGCGTCACAAAACTTACCGGGGGACTCGGTTAAGGAGTTCCTCCAGCCCTTTGTGGGTCGGGAATTAGTAATAACATTCCCCAAAGGAGAAAGAAACCTAGCGCTGGAGAGCACAACAAAAGCGCTAGAAGCTGCCGATACGCATCTCAAGCCCACCCACAAGAAGAATCCTGGGAACCATGGTTTACCTCTCAGACGCGTCCCAGCACCCTAACAAAATACAGTATTGCTTTTTTTTGGGGGGGGGGTTGCTTTAAATTCGCGAAGGACGAGTAGTTTCTTCTCGCACACTCAGCGTTTTCCTGTTCCACCGTCCGGGCGCTCATCCCTGCTTCAGATCCTGCGCAAAGAGAGCGCGCGAGCGAATTCTCTTCCCTTCGGAGAATTGCGCGTCGGTGTCTTTCCTCGAGGAACCTCTGGGCCAAGTTCTTCCAGCTCAGGGCTGGGCAGCAGGTGAGCTCGAATGGTGAAGCGAAACCCCGCCCTCGAGTCTCCTGCAGCTGCCGGAGGGAAGGATCTATAAGGCGAGTTTCTTCGCCAAAGGGAACAGAAAGAGACCAGGAGAGGAGAGAGAGCCGGCGGCGCTCAGAGCGGGTTTCCCGCTGCTGCCCTCGCGCCAAGCCTTTCTCCCCCGGGGAGTCAGGCGCCGCGAGTTGGCACCCACTTCCCTTGGCAGAATCTCCAGATCTGGGTCTTTGGGTGGCCGTGGTTTCTGCTGCGCTGGGGCTGGCGGGGAATAAGCGCGATGTCGAAGAAGATCGTCCTCAATCTCCCGGCCCTCTCCTTCACAGCTCCCCCCAGAAAGGGGGACGACGAGGGCAGCATTTTCCCCGCGACGCGGCTGCCCAAAGCGGGTCCCTCGCTCTTTCTGGAGCCGCAGCCTTGGGCGATTCACTGCGCCGCGCTCCTCCTTCTGGGCACCTTGCTGGACTTGCGGGACGAGGACTGGAGGAAATTCAAGGGCGAACTGCTCAGATTCCCGGTCAAGGAGGGCGTCGGAAGAATCCCCAAAAGGTTGCTGAGGGAAGCCGATGCTCGGCAGCTCAGGGATCTATTAATCCACTACTATGGCGAGGCTTATGCCGTGGAGGTGACGGCGCTGGTGCTGCAGGCGATGGACTACAAGCCCCCGGTGGGCTCTCTCTTTGTTTTCATCAGGCTAAGTAAGGATCTCCGGAGAGGGGTGGATCCATCCGGCTGGTGGTGGTGACACCTCGGGGTTCTGTTTGCACTGACAGCACAGCTCCTTCCCATGGCTGTAGTCGCCCAGGGGTGGGGCAACTTTTCCAGCAAAGGCCCATGTTAGGCAGGGCCAGCAGTGAAAGGGAGCAGAATGACGGGTGTCAATGTTACCTGCGGAAAGTGGGCTAATATTTTCACACATCCCTCTGCCCTCCATCTAGACCAGAAAGAAGCTTTGTCGGAGCTAGGGCTGCCCCAAGAGAGTTTAGCGCCTGAGGCGAAACAGAAAAATGGCTCCCCACCAGGGAAGAAGGAACATCAGGAACAAGGTGGGGAATAACGATCTGCATTGGGATCTGCTGCCCCTGTGGATCATGCCTCACCTTGCCTCAGGAGTGCGCCAGGCCTGATGGAGCTCAAGGCCCCATTCCAGGAAGGCAGAGACACCCCAGGAGAGTTTCCAGGCGGGGTCAGTGAGGGGTGTGGCCTGGGGAGCATTCCAAGGGCTTGAAGGAGGGGCCTGGAGGAGCCCATTTGGCCACAGGGCTTGAGACTCCCTGCTCCTAGATTAGCCTAGCCCCAAAGTGCATCAATAAATAACAAAAAATATCAAGCTGAGATATTTTTAGTACATGCACTGTTTTCTATAGAAAGCTTTTGGCTGATGGCAGTAATTCTCAGTAGCTTTCAACAATCGGATTGCCAATGCTTAAAGGTAAAGGAAAAGGGACCCCTAACCATTAGGTCCAGTCGTGGCCGACTCTGGGGTTGCGGCGCTCATCTTGCTTTATTGGCCGAGGGAGCCGGCGTACAGCTTCTGGGTCATGTGGCCAGCATGACTAAGCTGCTTCTGGTGAACCAGAGCAGCGCACGGAAACGCCGTTTACCTTCCCACCGGAGCGGTACCTATTTATCTACTTGCACTTTAACGTGCTTTCGAACTGCTAGGTTGGCAGGAGCTGGGACTGTGCAATGGGAGCTCACCCCGTCGTGAGGATTCGAACCACTGACCTTCTGATCGGCAAGTCCTAGGCTCTGTGGTTTAACCCACAGCGCCTCCTGTGTCCCTTGCCAATGCTTAATAAATTGCAAATACGGTATCTTCATCTTAGGATGCAGAGAACAGCAAAGAAACAGTTTACATGAATTTCTTGTGGTCCTTTGGACTTGGGGTTCAGATTTTTCCTTGTGGAGTGCAGTCTTCTTTCCTTCATGTTTGAAGCCTGCAAATAGCTAAGAAGAGGCATGTAAATTAATAGAGTCTTCAGGCCTTCCTAACCCCCTTGGAGTTTTTTCTGTCTTCTGAGTCAGGCTGAATTGCTGGAATCATTGGAAATAATAGAAAGGGCACATTGGACCAGTTGGTCCAGCTCATTCCAAGGTTTTAGGCAGGAATATTTCCCAGCCCTATCTGGAGATTCCAGGCATTCAACCTGGGATCCTTTGTATGCATGTGATCTACCACTGATCCACGGCCCTTTCCCACTTAGTGCTACCTATTCAAGGTTTTCCAACAGGAAGAGAAGGGGAAGGGGAATGTAGGAACGCTGGGTTTTTTCTGTTCAATACTGCTACTAACACCAATAATTCCAACAGTAAGGATTACACATTTATGCCTGCTGGTCACCCTGAAAACCTTGAAGGAGTCAGATCTGAAGAAGTTCAAGGATAAACTCAGCGTGTTCCCCTTCAAGGAAGGCTATGTCAGTATCCCCAAGGGGTTGCTGGAGGAAGCAAATCTTTGGGAGCTCACAGAATTGCTGCTTACATACTGTGCTGAGGATTATTCTGTGGAGGTGGTGTCAGAGGTGCTGAAGGCCATTGAATGTGAGCCCTTGCCAGAATGGCTCTTTCGTCTCATCGGGAAAGGTAAGGAACTTGGAAGGGAGAACATTGGCTGAGTCTAATGGTCTTCTTCTAGGAGTGGGGCTGGGTGTAAAGGAAGCTTCTTGGAAGGGCTTTGGGTGTGTCTCAAATCTGTGCAGCATTCTGAATATGTATTCTGGACAAAATCAGAAGGAAGACTCTGAAATCAGTATCTCTTCAAGTTTCACAATGATTTTATAAAATCAATGTCATCACTTCAGAACAATATTATCCCTTCCCCTCTGCTTACATATGCCTCCTGGCCCTGAAGGTTCTGGCAGAACTTCAGCTAAGCCATGGGCTTGATTAACTAAAACTGTTTGTGTGTACTCATTTTCTCAATATATCTAACAGCAGAGCAACCCGCCGAAACACATGTTTCAAGGCATCGGACAGCTGTAGTATTGTCTTCAAAAATTATTCAAGGTCTGGAGGAGCTGCTTTCATCAGAAAGAGCCACCAAAGGGTAATTTCTACACTTTACTTAAGTGACTGAAGCCACCATTTTAGCAATGTGTTTTCCCCTCTCAGTTAACACTACACCAAGCTGCACTCTCAATGCAAAACAAATGCAAAACGCTTCAATTTTAAACATTATATGACAAGAATGTTACTTGCCCAAAAATGGAAAGAAGAAGTTCAAGCAAAGGAAGAATGGATACAAAAACTTATAGAATATGCAGAAATGGAGAAACTTACCGGAAGAGTAACAAACCAAGATAACAAACTTTTTTATATAAAATAAAGGAAATGGTTTATTGAATATTTACAGATAAATTGTAAACAGATAAAAATACTGGCAGGATTATTGTAATAACCTGCAGCTACATAAGAGTATATATATAAAGAAGATAAATACATGAGCAAGTTAAGTTAATCTGGATATGCAGAAAATATTAAAAATAAATTTAAGGAACGGCAGAAAGAAGGGGAAGGAAGTAAAGTTTTTAAATGTCAAAATGATTGTAAAATCAGTGAAATGTATATATCTGAAAAGTATATAGGAGGCCCCATTAGCTAAAGTGGTGCTTCAGGTTAAGAACAGTTTCAGGTTAAGAATGGACCTCTGGAACGAATTAAGTACTTAACCCGAAGTACCACTGTAAACATTGTAAGTAATTTAGCAAGCTCTTCTGCTTAAAACAAATAAATGCTTTAGCACCAATTTAATAACTGTGTGTGTGCTTTTTAAAGGAAAAGGCTGCTTGGAAGAAAGAATATTTTTAAAATCACCATGTTGAACCTTTCCGTTTTCTGCCCACAGATGACTTTCTAAGTCAACCACTGGGCAGTAAAACCAAAGTGCATATTTTCTGCTGAAGCTGTCAGGCTGCCAGATACTTTTCAGGCCATCCTCACTCCACAACCATAAAGGTGCAGAGCCGCTGGAATATAGTGAGCTGTGAAACAGGGAAGTCTGGGTTAGATTTTGCCTCTACAACGAAGCCACTGTGTGGACTGTTTCTCAGCCTCCCCCATCCTGCTCATATAAAGATAATAATGCTAAGATAAGAACTAAAGATAAGAACTGACTGGGGTTACTGGGAGGATATTCGAGGGAGTCTATTTCATAGACTCCCATCAGATGTCAAGGAAGGAAGTAAACAACTATCTGACTTTTAGAAGAAATCTGAAGGCAGCCCTGTTTAGTGAAGTTTTTAATGTTTGATGTTTTATCATGTTTTTAATATTCTCTTGGGAGCTGCCCAGAGTGGCTGGGAAAACCCAGCCAGATGGACAGGGTATAAATTTGTTGTTGTTGTTGTTGTTGTTCTAGAATAGGGGACAGCAGGGCAATCTTTTTATCCCTGAGGGTTGTGTGTGCAGGTGAGTAGTGTGTTGGGGGCTGCACACTTGCTCAGATATGTGCACAGACACACCCACCTTCACAATTCTCATTCCCACTCTCTCTTGCACACACCACTTTCCCCTCCGCTCATTTCACACGTACGCTTTTAGCTCCCTCTTCACCTGCTGGCACACCTGATTATGATGGTGAAATTGCACAGCTCTAAGGCTAAGAAAAGAAGGCAAGGTTCCCCAAGTCTTGGTGGGCCCCAAGGTGTGCAGCTGAGAGCTACCGATGGTCCACTGGCTGCAAGTTGGCCACCTAACCAGGTTCCAGTTCTTCCCCTGCTTCTGTTTCTGCCACAGGTCATTGAAAAGATACGCATTCTTTAGTGATGAGATGATCTGCAAGGGAAGAGAACAGTTGATTGAAATTCTTGAAGAGGACCTAGACTTCGTTTTGCACACCCTACACTCTTGTTCTGTCATCACACTACAAGAATACAAGGATGTTTTCAAAATGGAGAAAGATTCTAAAGAGAAAATCAAAAAATTGCTAAGTATAATCCTGGAAAGGGGAGAACAAGCTTGTTGTCGGTTCCTGGAATGTTTAGAAATGGTACGTCCAGCTTCTGTTCTGATCCTACTATTTGCAGTACTGGGTGGATTTGACTTCATGTCATTCTTATTCCTCAAGGTCATTTTTTGCACCTTTCTTCATTTTCACAACAGTCATATTGGTTTAAAAATAAAGTCCAGGTTTCTGACCAGTCAGTGCTGCAGTCTGAATCCCTCCTATTCAGAAAGGAAACGAGGAACCAGAAAATGGAGCATTCTGAAGATCCTGGAGAAAGCGTCATGTGCATCCAGTGTCCCAGCGAGGTAAGGGTTGTACTGGCTGCATCAAAACAGGGGGCTCCATGTGCTAATAAACCATGGCAAGTGGGCAATGGGCACTTATGACACTGTGTATCCAGTTTAGTTTGGAATCTTCTTGCCTCACTCATATTTTGTGGGGGGGTCCAGCTATTTGTTACATTGCAATCCTCCTGTTTCCCGGAGCTTACCGTATTTTTTGCACCATAACACTCACTTTTTTCCTCCTAAAAAGTAAGGGGAAATGTCTGTGCGTGTTATGGAGGGAATGCCTACGGGTGGCATGCCTACGGATTTTCCTCCTCTAAAAACTACGTGTGTGTTATGGTCGGGTGCGTGTTATAGAGCGAAAAATACGGTAAATCTTTCTTCATTTGCATGCATTGTGGTACAGTACTTTCCAATACTGCCATGTCCACAGGTGTCTCCAGAAATAATTCTCTGGGTGAAAGGAGAGTGGGAGAATCTGGTATGGATGGACACCAAGTGCCAACCCACAGTGTCCCCTTCTTCCCCCTCATCAGTACTTAGGGAGGAAATGTTAATGGATGTTTGGGTTGCAGCCATGCTATAATCACCATAATGAGATATTTTGGAAGATTATATCTTCTTTTAAAGTTTTTTTTTTAATGGATCAGCAGTTCACACAGTATTTCAGAATTCAGCATAGGTCCAATTACTATACTAAAAATGAATACAGAATGCAGCAGGTATAAAGAGCTTTTAGCAATGTGGAGCTGTGGGGTGGAGCTCAAGAAGGGATCCTTGGTGTGGTCATAGTGGGTGTTTCTATTTTCAGATGGGAGGAGGAATATGGTATCAATTTGGACCCTTTATTCTTTGTTATAGGAGCTTCCAGGAAAGATAAGACCAGAGAAAGTTTGGGATTCACAAATGAGCCATGAAACTTACAGGTGAGTAGTACTTCCTACCATCAGAGAATGTTTTCTGCATTGCATATGGATATGGTGATGCTCCCACATTGCAGTGCTCTCTAAGGCATACTCTGCTTGCCCCTGTGGGTGCACATCGCTGTGGAAGATGAGTAGTGGACATAAAGCATGTACCCGCTAACATAAATCCTGGCTACGCCCATGCCACAGCACAGTATCAGATGAAGAGCCAAAAGTTAAGTACCAAAATTCCAGTCAATGCTGGACTGAAATACTGCTAATGATCATTATTATCAAGAGAGAACATTTGACATGACCCACAAATCGCTTATAAGAGTATCAGCCATAACAGTAGAGGAAGCTGCATCAATCTCTTTCAACCCCTTTTGTCTTTCTCGCCTTCAGATTTTGCTTCACTGAGGCTGGCTCCTTCCTTTGTTGTTGTACTGACCTTATATTTAAGGTAAGGGGAGCTGTGACCATAACATACCACTTTGATTCATGGACTCAACACCTGCATGAATGGCAAATGATAGAGCTGGCTGTCGCTGGTCCTTTGCTCAACATCCGAGCGGATCCAGAAGAAGCTGTGGCAGAAGTTCACTTTCCTCACTTCTTGTGTCTTACAGGTATGGTAGGAAGAAAAGCTTCCAAGAATAGAGTGTTAATATTCATTCCTGTTTAAGATTCTTCCTTTTGTCTATCATGTACATTCCTTAATGGCTGAATAATGCTATGGGCTGGTTCATTGGATCACAATGCTTGATCTGCCTTTTGTGGCTTCTTTTGATTTTGCAAGAATTCTATCTTTTTGCAAGAATTCTGCTTTTTTCTTTGACTTACTATA